GGTGTGGAGAGAAAGGGGAAATCAATCACAAGGATCAACATATAACCCCTTCCCAGGGGGATAAACAACAGAAAAGTGGGTGAAGGGTGACAGAGGACAATGTAAGATGAAAATAATAATCTATAACTTATCAAGGGTTCTTGAGGGAGGGAGGAAGAGAGGGAGAGGGAGTGGGAAAATGAGCTGTTATCAAGGGCTCAAGTAGAAAATGCTTTGAAAATGATGGCAACATGTACAAATGTGCTTGACACAATGGTTGAATGTATGGATTGTGATAAGAGGCATAAGAGCCCCCAATAAAAGTATTTAATAAAAAAGAAAAAAAGGATGAATTTGATGACAGTGATTTTTCAAATTATTATTTCAAAATAAAGTGAGTGCCTTCCAACCCTTAAAAAAAAAAATACAAGTATGCTTTGGGCTGCTAGCTGTAAGGTCAGGAGTTTGATAACACCCCCTGCTTCTCAGAAAAATGAGGCTTCTACTCACAGAGTTACAGTCTTGGAAACCCACAGCAGCAGTTCTACCTAGAGCTACAGGTATGCTATGAATCAGCATGGACTCAATGCAATGAGTTTGGCTTTCTAGAGAATGCTGCTCTGTTACCGAGTCGTCAAGAACAAAGCACCCAGTCTGCTTTTGGAGATCCCCGATGTCTCCTGTGGCCAGCGGTCATGGCAGGCTTCACCTTCATGGCTCCTGTGTGTGTGAGGGAGGATGCTGGGAATTAGTCAACATCACTAGATCACAGGGAAAGGCCATTAGTCTGAAGCTGCTGGAAGTTATTCATAGGACATAATCTGAGGCAAAGGAGTGTTTTCTACCTCCTTTAAACGACTACATTGCAGGCACCTCTTTCTGAAATTTACGGTTCACTTTCTCTAGGATCAACCCTGGTGGTGTAGTGGTTATGCGTTGGGCTATGAACTTCAAGGTCAGCAGTTTGAAACCACCAGCCACTCTGAGGGAGAAAGATGGAGCTTTCTATTCCCTTAAAGAGTTGTAATCTCAGAAGCCCTCTTGGGGGCTGGTTGTTATGAGTCAGCATGTACTCCAGCACCGAGTTTGGGTTTTGGAGGTTTTTCTAGCATCAGCTGGCGGGTCAGACTGTCAGAACTCGCACTCCCATTCCTTGTTGCTGGCCCTGTTCTCAGACTGGTCATCTCCTCGCCTGCTCCTCTGTCTTATACTACCTAGGGCCATGACTATTGTTGTTTTAGTAGTTAATGTGATTTGCATCTTGTTATAACACATTATTCCTTGATTAAATGCTCATTATGGAAATATGAGCAAGGAGAGGGGGGAAAATCAGTACTTCTAATCCTAGAGAAATTTCAGCCCTCCTCGACTGCCAGAATTCTTTCTCTTAAAAATTTATTCATCATATTGTTCTTTTTTTTTAAGACTTAAGGAAGAGAATTTGTCATAAGTCAACAAGATTGACTAAAATTATTTGAATACATATTCTCAAATTCAAAGCAACTTAGAGATTTCCAGGAAATAAAAATGATTAAACATTTTTATCCCCACATTTTCCGAGACCACTGAAATTATTGTGAAAAATTTAAAACATGCAATACTACATGTACAATAAATTGGGGAAAGATGATAGCTGCTAGGAGATATCAAATTTTGGTGGATGACATAGGGAAGAACACATAATAGCCATCTCACAGTGATTTGTGGTAGTGATGGGCACAACCACATATATTTATCGAACTAATAGAATTACATGCTTAAAATTGGTATATCTTATGGCATATTGTTCTTTAAATGCCCTTCTGTGGGGTTAAGGGTAAGAGGGAACCCCACAAAACATCACAGGTTTGGTAGGCGCAATTGTACAGCGATAATAAGTAGAGATTATAGTAAAGTCATAGAG